CTCTCTCTCCCCCCTCTCTCTCCCCCCCTCTCTCTTTTTTTTCAAATGCATGCTTAGTCATTTATTTAAAGATATAAAAACCGCTATAAAATATTTTAAAAAAATACTTAGTCAAGAAGATATTGAACAAAATAACTGTTTTTTTAGTTGTGCTTAATCATTTATTTAAAGATAAAAGTATAAAAAAAAGGATTTTCTGACTTAATGCGTTTTGGAATCCATCTATTCAATTGTTTACAGAATTGAATTTTTTTATTTAAATAAATGTTTAATTAATTTAAAATGTTTAATTAAATGTTTAGATTATCGTCGCTTAAACCAATTAATTTTTAAATACGAACTTTTAAGTATAGATTTAACTGTCAATTATCTTCAGGTAAATATATTTCAAGGTAATTTAGAATATTTTTTAATAAAAATATCCGGCAGAGTCTGGAAGGTAAAGCTTGTCTTGGCTTGAGCGCTGCTCTGGTGGAAAACCCCGCAAGTTGATATGTAGGACGGCGTCGGATATCGCCATCCAGTGGAGGAAGATTGCCACCACCTCTCGAAATAAAAAAAATGCACTACATTTACAGGACAAATTACCTTAGTAGTTGACGCACAACGAAACATTAATTAATCAAAAAATATCCGAACGCAGGACCTCCTATGAATGGGAGTCTTAATAACTCTTTATTTTGCTTGTAAGAAGATTCAGCTCTTACTTATACCATGAATAATGATTTCATTTATTTTAACACAACCGCAAAAAATATTTAATCAACTCAACCCATTTGAAATCATTAATATATCAATATTTGTAGTACCTTTGTGCATTGAACGCCCACCCCAGTAGTTCACCTGACTGGAGCGCTAAAGGCTGCTTTGCTAAAGGCTGGTAGTTTGAGTCTATTGTAGTTGTCTTACGAATATGGTGTGAAAGGCAATGACAATTCACTGTGTATTTCGTTTAATATTCAGAGGTTATGAATAATTGTTTCATCAATCATTGTCGTGAAGTAAAAGCCACGAAGCTGGCATTCAACACGAAACATAATAATGCTGCAAAAAATAATGTATTATTTCACAAGATCAACCATATGATCGAAGATCAAAGTGATTAATTTGAAATATTTATTGCTTTAAGCGTTTCTTTCATGGCCTAGAGACCATTCTATCCATTCAAATTTAGCTTTGCTGGAAATCTGATTAATATCAAAGGTAACGTTTTCCTGAAGTGATGATATTTTCTTTGCGCAAAGTAGACCGGGGGAGTCCAAGAAAACTTGCTGTCTTGTCGCTCGATTTGAATGAAGGACGCTGAGCGCGCGGTGTTGGGGTTCCGGTATTCTCTCCAGATCCGACCCTCCAGAAAATGCGCGAACATCAACCTTAGGGCTGAGCGTTGATATTTTGCAGAATTATCCCGTTTAAAACGATTTTTGTTCTTGAAATTGCACACATTGGTTCTTCGTGATACTAGCTACCTAAGCAATAGTTAAAAACATGTTCAATTGCTAGTTTTCCACAATTTTAAAATATCTGGTCGGGAATGTCAAGCCGCCATAACAATACATATTAAAGAAACAAACTGTACTATCTTATTACTAGATAATTAGACGGTAAAATCGATTGACACTCTACCAGAACACATGGTGGGAAGAAAGGTGTCTTTCCACCAAGGATGAATACGCTTAATAATGGCCTAACTTTATAAACTCGTTTCTAAGTTGTGCAGCTACGTTATGTTTACGTTTAAATTTGCGTTGTGAAAGAAGCCTACTCGGGAGCTTGGATGACACCTACAGTTGTGATCTAACCATCATAACTGATCAAACGTCACGGACTCAGTAAATAAATCGAAATACACACCGCACCATAATCCCTCCATGTACGCTCATACATGTACGAATCGTGTCAGAAACTACATTTGAGGCGAAAAACGCTCCATCTTTCGATTAAAGTGTTGTATATTGAAGAATTCACCGATGGTTCTATTATTTAATGTACATTTTAAATTTATGAACCACAAATAAATGCAGTTATGTAAAAGTAACAACTCACTTCATAAATATTCCATGAGTAATAATACGTCTTCCATGCATTAATTATTTATCCATTTGGAAGGGAACTTCGGATTAATTGGGCAGTTTCACTTATTATTATATTGAAGATTTAAATGATTAATTGTGTACTAAAAATTCTATAATTTTTAAAGCGTTAATTACATTAGTGATTGAGATTCATTTTCTCAAGATTTTGAAAGAGCCGCCTGGAAAACTGCGTTTCACCAATCACAAGGCAGATATCGCCACACCTGGTGAACGATTTCAAAGATTCAACCATGATTCAACGAATCAGTCAGAAAAGTAATCGGACTACAAGTCGCTACAAGTTCAATCAACAGTTGGGACCCCTCCAGCCAGATTCCATCCAATTCTATCACCATTACCCAAACTTAGGGTGGATGTGGGAGTAATAATAGATTATATCTGATGTGCCCGAAATTATTGACCAGGGTCAAAAGGATTTTCATCTTTTGCCACACGTGCCCAAAATGCAATAAATTGATAAGCCGAAGTACATTGAAATCAGATTGAATCTGTTGGGAACATATATGCCTTTAGATACGAGTCTTTTGCAGGTTTTTACTTAGGAAGTTACATAGGAGTTACGATTTCCACTGTATGAATAAAACATATTGATACGTCAGCAAGTTCATAAATTATCTGCACATTATGACTTACAGGATGTCTCTATAATGATTGTTTATTATTGACAGGTTACACCTGAATGGCATATTGAGGAGGTAAAACAATTAGTTTTTTTAAAATTTCCTGACCCTCGATCGATCAAATTTGGCATTATATAATAATGCAGCATTCAGAGAAAAAGTGAGTGCCTTGCCAACAAGTGATATCAAGATTAAGAATTCTGGTTGGATTTTAACCCTGACGTACGGTTTTTGAAGGACTTCGGTGAGTGGAATTTGTACTTTATCAAAAGTAAAGAGTTAGTTTTCAAATTCAATTTGACTTCTTTTTTAGTTTGAATGTTAGAAATGGAATCCAGAAAACTCAAGATTTTATATGGCAGCCAGACTGGAACATCTCAAGAGGTAGCAGAAAGATTCTGGAGAGATTCTAAAAGGTTTGACAACTTTTTTTTTTACTAGAAGAAAGGATTGTTTTGGAGGCTGCCAATAATTGTCATTTCTTGTGATGACATTTAAACACACTTTATTTTAATACTAAAGACTTAAAAGCATGGCTGTTAACCTCAAAAAGATATTTGTTCATAGAAAATTTGGAGGTAGAGGAACAGAAAAAAGTAAGGGGCGTTTGCAGTTAAGTCTTGAGATTATTTATAGAAGTAATTTATTGTGTAGCAATGGTATGCTATAATTTAAAATTTTTGACTAATGCAGCTATGACTTTCAGGTGTAAATTTAATATTTTAATTTTTGTTATGAAATAGTGTACCAAGAATGAGTAAATATGTGATATTTTTAATGCTTTTAACAATTTCAGTATTTTCCATCAAGTATCCATGATCATTCATACCTGTGGGATACAAAAATGTCCTACTAAAGAGAGCTTTAAGTAGAAGTGTAGTAATTGTTAAATTGTAAGTGGGCCAAACAGTATGTATTTGCTTGCTGTAACGAGCTGTAAAAATCTATTTTTGAGAAATATTAAGTATTTAAATTACAAATTTCAATAAATTAAAACACACTAAATATTTTTAAAAAAATATGATTGTCCTGATTATTTCTCCATCTCTACTATTTCAATGACACAGTTATATATTAAAATTCAACATAAATATATATTTTTTCTGGTTATATTTAGATATTACTTTCAAGGGCCTGTTCTGGCTTTGGATGACTATCCAGTTACCCAATTAATTTTCGAGAAGCTGATTATATTTGTTTGTTCAACTACTGGTGATGGAAAGGAGCCAGATAATATGAAAAAGTTTTGGAAGTTTTTGCTGAGGAAAAATCTTCCTCTTGATTCTTTAAAAGGATTAAGGTATGTGTAATATTCTTGTTATAGAAAATTGCATTTGGAACAGAATCTGATGGTGATGCATATTCCCCCAGAGATGAGTTTTCTCTTTCTTAAATTAACAATAACTTCTCTTAATTAAATGTATTTAATTAAAATGAAAGGATACTCTTTCTGGTCATGACCATGCATCAAAAGATTTTTTAATATGATAATTTGATATGTATAAGTGATTAAATGATTATGTTTAATATGACTAAAGTTCTCAGAAAGTTATAAAGTTTTAAAATGGATTATAGCTGTAAATGATATAGTAATATTTAAACATTGTGAACAGGGAACCACAATTGTTTAGATGGAAAGGTGTCGTAAACATGTATGTGTTGTAGGTTTGCTGTTCTGGGCTTAGGTGATTCATCATATACAAAATTTAACTATGCTGCAAAAAAGCTGTATCGTCGCTTGTTGCAATTAGGAGGAGTAGCATTATTGGACGTTGGCCTGGCAGATGATCAACATGACCTAGGTCCTGACGCAGTGATTGACAAATGGTCTGAACAGTTATGGAAAACATTGGGTGAAATTTTCCCACTACCTAATGGAACTGAGCCACTTAGTAAAAACAATTTATTTTCAGCAAGGTAAGAGTAGTCGGTACAAAAAAATAAATTAAAATCCAAAGACATTTTAAATTAGTAATGGATCTATCTGTTGAAAGATGGACCATTAAAATACTGAATACAGAATCAGAAAATAATGACATAGAAGTAAGTGACATAATTTGGATACAAAATTGTGAAAAACACACAGCATCATTAGAAGAAAACACATGCTTACTGACCATAAAGAAGAATATTAGAACTACAGCAGAAAGTCATTTTCAGGTGAGAAAAAATTGATTTAAAATTCTACAAAACATCGTGAATAAGTATTATTATATTCAGTGGTGTTTTCTTTGGTTATATCATTACTTGCTTTAATTCCTATCATTTTATTAATAGTCCTGTTTGGAATGAAAAATTTGGCTTTTTAAGGTATCTGAAACCTTTCAGTATTTTTTTTTTTTTAAGTATTGGAATTTGTGTTACTTTTTAGTAACAATCACACATTTAAATGCAGTAATTATTTGTTCCTTTACTTTATTATTTGTTGATTTGATGTTCTTATGTTAAGCTAAAACAGCTGCTATTTTGATTACTTATTAATTTTTGCATTTAATAACTATGTACAGTACTGCAGTCCCTTGGTTATCACTAGACATCGGATGTTTAGGAAAATACCTATTTTACAAATATATACAATGGAGATTAATTACCAGTAGAAACTTTTTGTGTGCGTGTGTGTGTATTTTTTCTACATTTTATACTGGTAATTAATCTTCATCGTTTGTCTTGACTGAAGTCATTTGGGTTTACAGGTCACTGAATTTTTGGAATTGAAAAGCTTGCATTGTGACTTCAGATTTTGTTTTTCGCATTTCTTTGTCCAAATAAAATAAAAAAATTGTGATCTCTGAGCACTTGGTTGATCAGTGGGCACTTACGTGAGCATCAATTTGCGATGTAATCAATGAAATGTCTCAGAGGGCAAGGCGATGATCCTCACTACCAACATTGATATCTTTTGGCGCCAGATGTTTTTCTGGAGAAGTGCGCAGTGTAATTTCATCTCAGAGTGAGGTGCATCTTCACTCTGCCTGCAGTTGTCTGGAATTGTGCACCACGCGAAGTACTTCACCACCTCAATCGTATAAAAATGCCAGTTTCTCACTAATGATTCATTAATAGTCTATTATCACAAATTTGGTTTTTGGTATTAGCTAATTTTAGATGCAAGTGCAGGGAAATATATTTCGTTTTCCCCCCTGCAATTTTAAGTGTTTATTGCCTTTTTGTGAGCCTAAAATGTAAGTTTTTAGTGCATTAACATCCGATGTCTAGTTATCATTAAATATTTAGTGAGAAAAATTGTGCATGTTTTAGGATGTCAGATTGCTGCAGTTCTCAAACTCAAAACTGATTTATGAACCTGGAGATGTTCTGTATGTTCGACCACAAAATTCAGAAAGCAGTGTTACAATGTTTTTTGACATTGTGTCAGAAAATCCAAAGGCTAAACTGAATCCTTATAGCCTCATTAGTGTTTGTGAAACAAGTTCTGATGCTCCTGTACCTGAAGTTTTGCAACGTCCACTGACTTTAAAAGCGTGTGTAAAACAGTATTGGGATCTCAATGTAAGAACATTTAAGGAGTTGACTGTAGAAGGAAACAAAATGATAAACTTTCACATTTTTATATCTTTACCTTCAGATGGTGCCTCACAGATTTTTCTTCAAACTCTTATCACACTTTACTACAAATGAACTGGAAAAGGAAAAATTAGAAGAGTTTGTATCTGTAGAAGGACAACAGGAATTATTTAACTATTGTAATAGGCCGAGGCGGACCATTCTGGAAGTTTTAGCAGATTTTCCTAATGCTGCTGCAAACATTCCTTTGAATTATCTGTTTGAATTATTGAGACCGATTAAACCTAGAGCATTTTCTATAGCATCATCTCCTAAAGTAAGGATTTAAATTGTATTTATATTAAGTAATTTTTCAAGAATTTGGCTTTGAATTATTTCTTCCTCCGTAATTTTCAGAAACATGAAGGAGAATTGCATTTACTGGTTGCAGTGGTCAAATATAAAACTAAACTTTTCCTTCCTCGACTTGGTTTGTGCTCTAATTGGTTAGCCTCTCTAAACGAGCATTATTCAGCTCCAGTATGGGTTAAAAAAGGAACATTCAGATTCCCTTCTACATTGGTAATTTACAAGTTTACTTTGTTTTGCTGCTTTTTATTATCTGTAATGTTTAATGTTGAATTTCAATTGTGTATTATAGGATACTCCTGTAATAATGGTAGGTCCAGGAACGGGTGTTGCTCCATTTCGTAGTTTTATCCAAGAGAAAGTTGCTTTGAACCAAGCCAGAGCGGATTTACTGTATCTCTTCTTTGGTTGCCGAAATCATGATGGAGACTTCCACTGTAGAGATGAATGGTTAACGTTGCAAGAAAATAAAAAACTGACAATGTTTTGTGCTTTCTCCAGAGATCAAGAGAATAAAGTGTAAGTATATTATATAGGTATATAAATTAAAATATGGAAAGACCAAAAAAGTTGTTTGAAGTGTAGTATATGGTACAACCTAAGGAAGTTGTTTAAACTGGCACTTTGCGTCGCTTCGGCGAATGGGAAATTCACGGTGGAGGGGTTGAGGGGTGTTTAGGGAATTATTAGGGGAATCTTTCGGTGGGGAGGAGTGGTTAGCAATATGCTTAACTTAGTACATATGTATAAAAAGCAAAGCGTGGGCAATTTAAATACATTGAAAAAAATACACATCTGAAATAATTTTAATGGTTCGTAATTGGTCATGAATGTGACGTCAAAAGTTCGGGGTGGGGGAAATATCACCCTAATATCTTGTCTTCTTGTAACTTTGTTACGAAATGGTGTGGTGGCACGTAAATCATGTTTTTTCATGTGATTATCTGTTGGGGTTGCTGTCATACAATAATGTATCTTGCGTTCTTCAGATTCTTTGTGATACGTGTTTCTGAGTGTCGAGTGTGTGTTATGATGGTGAGAATAAATGTGGTTTTTTTGCGCATTGCGCCAAAGGAGGCGTTTGGCTGGGCAGTCATTGAATGGGCACTAGAATGTAGTTTGATTGCTGCAGGATTTAAGTGTGCTGTGTGTAAGTGACCTATAAGGTTGGCCAAGCGAAGGAAGTTGTGTGATGGTTTTGTTTGGAAGTGTAGCAAGAAAGGAGAACTCCTCAAGTGCGTAAGTGTTCCTTGCTAAAGGGGCCATTTGCGGGAAGCAAGTTGAGTATAATTCTGGTATTAGTAATAACCTATTTTTGGGTTATAAAACAGTCAGTCAAACTGCCATAAAAATCGCCTATCAGTAAGTTTCATACATTTCTGTCAGAGCGCTTAGCAAAATTTGAGGGAGGGTAGAGGAGACCCCTCCTTGCCGCCACGCTTCTCTAAGGGTATACCGTGTACTCAACTTTAACCAAAAAGTCTTTGCCCCAAGTATTGTAGGTAATGCAGGCCTTCTGTACAAACATTTTTGAATACTGAATGATTTCAAGTTACACATGGAAAGACTAATGTGTTTAAAAACTGCATAGTGGTTCTTAGATCTTCCATACTAATATACACACAAGTTGTTTTGCTTTCATCTGACACCATATATAATCACAGGTACGTGCAACACATTATGAAAGAGCAAGCTGCTTTGTTGTGGTCTCTATTTTCATCTCAGCAAGCTTCTTTTTATTTGGCTGGAAGATCAGATAACATGCCAGCTGCAGTAAAAGATGTACTTATTAATGATGTGGCCTGTTCTTATGGACAGCTGTCTTCTGAGGAAGCTAGTCAGTGGTTAGCAAGGTTAGAAGCTTGTGGAAGATATCAGGTAGAAACATGGTCATAAAACATTGTATACAAAATAAATTCAATAAAAGTATTAAATTGTACTTGCAAATTTTACAATTCTTTTAATAACAAAGTTGAGGTAAACAAAGAACATCTTAATCCTGGAAATTTTGAAAATATCATTTTTAATTCCAACTTGTTTCATGGATAGAGTTTTCAGAACATTGCCAAATCACAGCCTTATTCTGATCAATGATTTGTAATTCTATGCTTCAATCAGTCTGATGGGAACCCATACACTTTTAATGTCCCTGCATCACGCTTACGATCATATGTATCTTTATCATCACAAGCAAATGCAAGTAAGTACTGACTAGGATGCCATGCTACTGTAAAAGTAGCTGCTTCCACTGGTATGTCAACAACCTTTTCTCCAGTCTCTACCTCACCAACATCAATCACCAAGTCTTCAGATGCTGATGCTAATAACCGTCCATCATGGCTGAAACTGATGGTTCTTACTGGCCAATCCAATCTAAAGAAAATATTCAAATTAAGTAAGGGTCAGGAAGCAGAACTTTTAAAAAGTTCAATTTCTCAGATTATTACCTTGATAATAATCTGAGCCAAAATATTTACCTTGAAAATGTACGCAAGCATGCCAATTCTTCTACATCCCACAATGAAACTAAAGCATCTGCAGATCCTGTTGCAAAATAACGGCCAGTGGGATCCAACTCTATACAAATACAGGTACCAGGATGAGCTTTCAGCACTTGTTGTAACTCCAAGTCAGGATAGCTACAAATAACAGGAACAATACACTCTACAAACTTTATAACAATCAAACTAAAGGAAAGAATATCTGAAATAATACATTAATATCACACACCTCAATATATGAATGCATCCTTGCCCATTAGTTAGAAAAAATAAGTTACTCTGTTTATTCCAAGCAATTTCATTAACTTCAAAATTAAATTGTTCTTCAGCTTTTATTTTGTGTGTTCTAGTGTCTATAAACGTAACCAAATCTTCTTTATTGCCTACAGCTATGGTGTTACCATCTGGTGTCCATGCAATATTGATATTCTCACCTGAAACAATTTTATTAGGTAAACTACAAGTCTCATTGTTTTCGCTAGTTTTTACAACATAAACACTGAAAGTAAATAACTGTAACCTTTCGTCACAATAGTTGCAGCACATTTTTGTGATCGTGTATCCCAGATGCGGACACTTTTATCGCCACTTGCAGTACTAAGCAAGTCTGTATTGAACGAATGCCAGCAGAGTTGATCGACACTTCCCCCATGACCGCGAAACGTAAATTCTTTATTCTGAAGAACAAAAAATGAAAGCAACACAAAAAATTACAATAGACTTTATTTTAAAATTTACAAATAAATACTAACCAGCCTATCTCTATCCAGTGTGAAAATGGAAACTGATTTATCAAATGAACCCGAAGCCAACCGGCGCCCATCACAACTCCAGCCAACCGAGTGTACTTTTGAAGTGTGAGCCTGGTATTCCCTTGTTTTATTGTGGCTCTTGAAATGTTCTTGTAGTTCATCAATCTCACTGAAAAATGCCATAACCGCATTTAAATTATTCGCACTGAAAGCATCATCACTCGATTGTGATCACTTGGCCCAATCCAATCCTATCACAGAACAAAGAAGGAACATACATCTCGTTGGACGTGCTTCTACCACTGCAACTGTCGCGGGATACAGTTGCCGTGGAGGTAAGAGAATGCTTGAGTTGGTATTAAGAGATCAGTACAATTGTAGTATTATGAATAGTTAAGTATTATAATATTATTGCAGAATAAGTAAAAAATGTCGTATTTCAATATTGTTTGAAAAGCAACGAGAAGTGCTGTTCTGGTCACCTTGTAATTAAGGCTAAAATGCAACCTGTGAAAATTGGGACTCGTGTGGGCAGGGGTATGCATAAGCGACTGTCGACTTACTTTTTGTAATTTTCGTTTCGTTTTGTGTGGGCAAATACAAACATTTCCAGAAATCAATATTTGCCAGGGTAGGGAAACTTGCCGGTCAAAACGGGGTAATGATTTTTGCGCCATCTACAACAGTTCGAACGTGAGCGAACTAAACGTGTGACGTCATGCAATTCAAAAGCTGGCAATGTAGGCGGTGTTTGGTTTTTCGGCAGGTAAGGGAAACTTGGGCGTCAAAACGGGTAATGAATTTTGCGCCATCTACAACAGTTCGACGTGAGCCGAACTAACGTGTGACGTCATGCATTCAAAAGCTGGCTAATGGTAGGCGGTTTTGTTTTTCGTTACGTGCAGGCTGCAAGCGTAGGTGCTCATTTTTTATCGATTTTTTCAGCTTTTTGTTTAGTATGTAGAATGTCGCTGCATTGTAAATAAAGTGAATTATTCGTCGCGATATTTATTTGTCATGTCTAACTTTGTTTCAGTATTTTGGCAGTCGATACTTAAGAAACTGGTGCTAGACAGTAATGGCTAGTATTTTCACCTACCGACATGGAGGATATTTAAATTCATTTGGAATCTTGATTACATATTGTTTATTGATTATTTATTTTTGAAACATTTACACCATGCAGAAATAGTTCTTAAATTCCGTAAATCCATGGTAGTATAACTACCGCTGTACACTGTCCATTTTCATTGGTTCTATTTGTTAAAAGTATTGTATTTATATTATTTCGTATGGTATTGGACCACGTTTTGGTAATATGTTTCATTGTATATCATATATTCATTGTTTGAATACCCTGGCATTCAAAATGCTCTATTCAAAACTCATTATAAATCATCATTATAATTTCAATATTCTTATTGTTTTGCATTCTAGAATAGGTACACTTCATTAATGTTGATGAAATGTAATTAAGTTTATTTGCTTAGGTGATACGGAGTTTACGTTTCTTCTGGAGGTGATCTTCGAGTTGCAGTAGATTAACTGCAAAATACATATGAATTCGACTTCACTAACATTAGAAGATGGAATTGTATCAACAGTGTTTTCCTACAAGCCCGAGCCTGATTGTCTTCTCAAAGAACATTTCAAGAAATCTTATTACCAAAGTGTGCAGTGAAAATCTTTTTTTCCTTTTGATGCGGAAGTGCTGCTAGTCTCGATATTATAGACAATATATTAATTTCAGCAATTTATATATATTTCATTACATAATTGCCCTGTTTAGAAAAACTTTCCTAAAACACTGGAAATATATTAATAAAGTAATCAAACAATTTTGAATGTGACACAATTAAAAAACTTCGTTTTCGAATGTGGAATAAAAAAAACGAATGTGTGTAATAAATAATAACACCTAAATACATCTTAACGTTTATTTTAACAATATTAAGATAAGTATATAATACTTTTTTGGATATTTCACATACTTTCAATGCTAAGAAAGGTTAATATATTATAGGATGATTTTTAATTAAAATGTAGCCAAATTGAATTGCTAAATGAAACATCTGACAATAAATCTCTGTAAAATATTATTGATAATTATAGAAAATCTAATCCAATTTTTCTACTTATACGTCAAAATTCTGTATTCATACAATTAGTATTGTTCTGCCATGTGTAAGGTTTCAATGAGATAGTTGTGTGTGGACTTAGTGAAGTATTTCATATGTGCTAAACGAGCAATATGGTAGCTATAGAAAATCAAAAAAAATCTTGTATGGCTTGCATACACAGAAGAAAATCCTGTGCCAGTTATTATTTTAAAGTTTAAGATTGCCTAAAACTAGGAGAAACTGCAAATTAAAATTGTTATATCTTCCACAAATTTTCATCTCATAAGATTTTTTTTGTAACAATGCCAAATTCCCTCTTTAATCCCAGAACACTTAAGTATATTTACCGGTATGTTATTACTAACTACAAGACGAATCAATTTGCGAAACATAAAACTAGTATAATTTTATAAATTTGTTTCATTTTTCCTTGGTTTTGAAAGACTTACCCAAAATAACAATGATTGATATATGTATCAAAATTACAATTCTATTTTCGGCTATAAGTCTCCAAAAATTAAGGCTGGTATGATTTATCATGAGATTATAATAAATGATAACTTTTTAAAATCTTGATTTAAGTTATTTTTTCAAATATTACAAATATTAAGTTATAGAGATGAAGACTTAAATCAATTACATAGTTAATACAACGATATCATATTTTCTTTAAACTTTTTCACATAATTGAAGAATTTCAAGAAAAAAAATACAATGTAATATACATAAAATGAGCATGCTTATGAAATGAACATAAACACTTGTAGTAGTTATTTACTAATGGACTTGGATGAATATATTAGTTTTTATCTAGCATTTCATTGTCTGTAGATAATACAAATTTAGGAACAATACACATACCGAGCTTGATTTCAGAAAAACACGATAATATTCAAGCATATTTGTAATTCTAGATTTGGAGTAAAATGTTTGCTAATGCCACAAGTATAACATCTCATAGAAATTTAGCATAATAGAAATGGAATTTTATTGATACTCACTTAAGAAAAAAATTAATATTGTAAAAACTAATAAAACGGTATTTAATCTTACTATTTTAATAATGTTAACTTTTTTCCTTGTGTATATTGGTAAAATACTATTTAAGTGGAAGGAACAGGACAACTATAAATAGATTTAATATTTCAAAACGTCTAATATTGTTTGTAAGTTTTTTTGTGAATATAAGTTTTTTAACAGTGAGGATTTTTTTGGATAAAGAATGTCTTTTTTCTGACCCATGCTGACAGTGTGTTGCTACAAGTTATTCCATACGTGAACACAATGAGAATTGAAACTATAACTTACTCACATTTAAAGATTTTGTGGGTTAGGCAGTATTGCACAGACCCTCAAATGTATAGTATCTATGTGAAAAAAACAACTAACACAACAATAAGGAAATGATCAATTTAAAATTCATGTTTTCACTTTTTTCTGATTTTAAAGTAATTAAGGATAAGTAAACCACTTTACAATTTGGTTTTAAGTATAAACATCTAATACAATATTTAAAATATTATTTAAATCAAGTTAATCTGAATCAATAAGAAAAGCAGATAATAATCTTGAATAATCTTCTAACGCGCCACAATTAATTCGCACAACCTTACTTTGAAAATGCGCGCCAAAACGCAACAGTGCGCTATCTGCATCCGGTGAGTGAGGAAACAAACTTAGTCCCGCCTTTTAACATTGAGTGAACCGGCCCTGTATCTCGTAATGTAATATATTACAATATATATCAATAATATAGATATATATATATATATATATATATATATATATATATCAAATATTATTTATATATATATATAATATCAAAGGTTATGTATTATTATAATATGACAATTTCTATCTTACATTTCAACTACAAGTTGAAAATTTTTTAAACAAACGAAGCGTGAAAAATATAAATATTTTTTAAAATTCAAATGTATAAATGAAAACAGCTTTCTGCCATTGAATTCAAAGTATTTACGTAACGGTACATAAATGTACCAACGATGCACGATGCTTATTTTAGCCGTAAATAAAATTTTTAGTTTATAATAACGCAGCCGTCATTACCGTCCTCAGTGTGTTACAAAAATTGGTTGCAACAAGCATCAATGGCGTATAAGATACACATTTCGCGAATTAGCATTATTGATACCGTTTGCAAGAAAATAAAAATGGATAGAAAAATATAATGATATACAATAATTTTTATATACATCAAAAGTACTCGGCTTTTACGTGCATTACTCTTCATTCCCACATCTTTTGAAGCAAAGAGAAATCATCTACTTGTTTTCACGTATAACTCAATTAAAGGACGCAATTTATAATAGATTTTAAATAATTTTTAAAAGCTTAATTTCCAAATGTATAACAAAAGCTTGAATGTAAGAAACGAACAAAGAAATATGAAATAAAATACACATTCTAACTTACGGAGCAGCCAAGTGCATGGAACGTTCACGAAGTGTAGTATATTCGGAGCAGGTGACTATGTTTGTCGCCAAAATGCACAAACAATTCTCATATTAAAAAAAATGACCATATTTGAAGTTCTTTTTTTATTTTTTTATGAACACATTTCATTAAGAAAAAAAACTTCACTATTGTAATTGTAGGAGGGCGCCGTTTTTTTCTTCGAAAAATCAGGTGTTTAAACGAACATGAGACCTCACTATATTTTTAAGCGTCCTTTACACTATCCAAGGTCTAAATTTAATTACCAAAATGTGTGACGTTTTTAAGAAAAATAGTTCAAAGAAAATAAAAATTGCATATGCTTGACACAAAATTTCTCAAAAACTATTCATGTTTTTGAATCATTAAACATGACATTAATTTTAGACAGATTTTTTTATGAGTACATGTCATTAAGAAAAAAATATTTATATTTATTTAATGACAACTCCGAAAAAAAATTTGATTTTTTTTAATTTTCGAAAAATTAGGATTTTTATCAAACATGAGAACTGCACCATTTTCTTAACTGTTCTTCAGACTATCCAACAAAAAAAGGTCATCAAAAACAATGATGCCGTTGTTGAGAAAAAAATTGTTTAAACAAACTTAACTTGTGGCGCTACAGAAAGGCACAGACGTTCTCGTTATATAGTTTTCTAATTTCCTTAGTGTGGACTGGCTTTAGAGTCATGCTCCATCCTCTTACCAGCTTCCGTCTATCAGATTTATTAGATTTATTTAGTCAAAAAACAGAAAAAAACTGAATGTTGAAAGATAATACTATGAAAAAAGTTCTGGGCATAAATGGATTAACGTATTATCAGCTAAGAAAAATTCTGATGTAAAGAAATGTACGAGTGTGAGGATGATTCTCATTGGTTTGCAGTGTGAGCACGGTTGTCAGGATCCTGACGCTAAAGTAAATAATTCTCTGTATACGAACTAATTTTTCTACCATCTTTCCTTAAATTAACCTTGCGCCAAAACTATTGCAACGGTTTCTAGAAAGGATACCATTGTGAACTGAATGTGTGTTGCTTGACAATAAGGATACGAGCCTCTGGTAGTTTAGCCCATCTCGTGGGATCGCTGCGCCGCGCCGCGTCGCCGAAGGCTCTGCTATACATTTCATG